GAGAGAGAGAGAGAGAGAGAGAGAAAGAGAGAGAGAGAGAGAGAGAGAGAGAGAGAGAGAGAGAGAGAGAGAGAGAGAGAGAGAGAGAGAGAGTGTTGCATACTCGTAAATACAGACATAAGTATGGCGCAGATTCCCAGAACCGACCAGATAATATAGAGCAATTACAAACGCAGCGGAAAGGTTTGATACACATGGACGGACTCTGACCTGACTCGGACTGCAACGGAACACTCCCAACATGCATCGATGTCGTGAAAGCCCTGGCCTTGGACTTAGACAAAAAGGCCAGGGTCTGAGATCATTCACAGACGAATGGAGGGGGGAGGAGAGACGAAGGAGGAGGAGAGGGAAGATGACGTCAGCACCATATATCCAAAAATAGTATCTCGAATGTCATACGTAACGCAAATCCTAAATGTCGTGAATACAGAGTCTTACAGTGTCCTTGATAACGATCCCCGAATCTCAAGATACATCTCCAGAAGTAGATGGAATCGATTCTCAAAAGCAGTCCTCACTCGATGTCTCAATGTCACCATCTCAACGGTTATTAGAACTCGTCACCATCTCTCATACTCATAGTGGTCCAGAAGTGTAGACTTAGACTTAGAGGAGTGGGAGGAGGGAGAGAGAGAGAGGGAGAGAGGGAGAGAGGGAGAGAGAGAGAGCGGGGGTAGAGGAGGAGAGAGAAAGGTGGGACCTTTCCCTCTAGTACCGTATTGGTAGCTATGGCGCTGCTGCTGCTGTAGTGGCTGCGCCGGTTCCTCCTTGCTGCCGCCGCTGTACCTCGCTGCTCCGGTCTCTCATTGGGCGTTGCGCTGAGCCGCTAGTGCTGGAGCGCTGCGCTAATCTTGAAGAGTTGCGCTAATGCCAAACTCACGCCTCCGCCTAATGCTAACCTGAAAACTAACTTCAAACCTACCGGACTGAGGCTGGTACCCAGCCTTTGTAATGCTGGGCCGGCCTCCTACCTACTGGTACCTACCGGCCTCCTACCTACTGGTACCTACCGGTCTGGACCGTTGATCAGATCAGCGGTCCAGATTTGAACTGGACTTCGGCGCCTAAAACTCGGCAGCCTCTGAAGCGCCGCCGGTAGGTCCTGGTCTGAACCGGTACCGGCCTCTGGCCATTTGGGCCTGAAACGCCGTGCCCCTGGCGTACCTGGGCCAGGTCTGAACCGTTGTCCCCTAGGCCTACCCTGCCTACTAGGAACCGGGCCCTATCTGGGGCCCGTGTAGCTCAGAATGCCGCACACTCCCCCCCTTAGAGACCGAGCGTGAGGGCGAAGCTGTTTGTCCGATGTCCGGACTGGCTGGGCGGGTTGAGCAGCTTCCTTGGCAAGTCGCTCCTTTTCGTAGTGTGCGAAGATGAGGGGCGCTGATGCTTTTAGATCAGCTCGTGAGATCCAGCGTGTGTCGTCGGGATCGCATTGCCTGAATGTAACTCTGTACTACATCGGCTTATTGTCGTACTTGCGATGGCCATCCAAACCACTTGGGGAGGAGCTTGCGCGAGACGTTCTCCTCGAGCGCGAATTCCTCGGAGGTGACCCAAACAAGGTCGCCAGCGCGGATCGGACATGGGATGCGACGCCGGTTCGCTTGCTGCTGCATACGGACCTGAGCCTTCTGCATATTTGCGCGGGCTTTGGCCAGCAGTTCGCGGTACTTCCGAGTGGAAGCGGGGGAGCAAGCGGCGTCTATGTCGGCATCCGGTGGAAGCAAAATGTCTGCGAAGATACGGCCTTTCCGTCCACCGTGATCATGCGTGATGCAACATAAATGGAGTCACGCCAATCACCGGGTGCACCGAAGTGTTGTAGGCGAACTCGATGTCGGAAAGACGGTCAACCTTGTCCTTTTGATCCGGGCGGATAAGTGTGCGGAGCATCATCTGCGTAGTTTGATGTGCACGTTCCGTTTGCCCATCCGTTTGAGGATGCCGTGCGGAACTTGGTTTCATGCTGGTGCCGGATTCCACCATGAGTGTCGTCCAAAAGGCTGACATGAAACGAGAGTCGCGGTCGCTGACGATGTCTTCCGGAACGCCGTGGCTGCAAAACCAGCCGGTGTGCAAGAGGTGTCCGAGCTCGAGAGCCGTCGCATGATACTTGCATGGAAGAAATCGAGTGTACTTGCTCAAACGGTCAACGACCGTGAGAATGCCATCGTGGCCAAGGCGATCGTGAGGGAACGGACCGGTCACATCCATGGCAATGGAGAAACCCAGTTCCCGAGGAATCGACAATGGTTTCAGTTCACCGTACGACAATTGATGGCGCCCTTTCTTCCGATGGCAAACTGCACATGACTGAATATACAAGTTGACGTCGTTGATGATGTCCGGCCAGTGGAATCGCTGGCGGAGTCGTGCGAGTGTGCTTGCGACGACGAGGTGTCCCGCCAGCCGCAAATCGTGGTATTCGCCAAGGAGGCGAGTGCGCAAGATGCGGTCTTGGGGAACACACAACAAGTTTTTGCCTCGTGTGTGGAGAAGCAAGTAGCAATCGGTGATGCGATAGTTGCTTGCTGGCGGGTGATCCGATGATAAGTCCGTGTAGAGTGTGGAGAATCACGGATCTGACTTGTAGCCGTTAATGAAATGCCGTTGGAGGTCCTCGTCGAGGACGAACGTGGAATGCACCATGGCGCAAAGATCAGGTCTTCGCGAGAGAGCATTCGCCGCCTTGTTCGAGGGACCCGGTATATGCTTGGAGGTGAACTCGAACTGGTCAATGAAGTACATCCAGCGACCGATCGTGCTGCTCACCGTATCTTGCGTCTTGTAGTATGTCAACGGATTGTTGTCCGTTGCCCACGTGAATCGCCGACGCCCGAGGAGGAAGTGACGCCAACGCTTAAGTACGGTGACAAAAGCTAGGAGTTCCTTCTTCCTCGCATCATCAAGTGTATTGATGGGTGGCACCTTTTGGCTGAAGTACTCAATCGAATGCCAATCGGTGCCGTCATGTTGTTCCAAGACCGCGCCGATGCCGTTGCCGAAAGCGTCCGTTGTCACTTTGGTCGGCAAGGTCGGATCGTAGATGCTTAAGACGGGAGCTTGCAGCAATGTCGTCTTCAGCGTACGGAACGCATGCCGGGCTTCGTCGTTGAATTCGAAGGGCACCAAGGGGGACTGAAGTCGCGTCAATGGTGCAGCGATTCGTTGAACTTTGACGAAGCGCATGTAGTATGATGCTAAGCCGAGAAAGGAGCGGGCGTCAATGGTGCATGCGAGGTCCGGCCAATCTTGGATGGCTTGTACTTTGTCCGCGAGCAGACGAATACCTTGCAGTGTAACGTAATGGCCCAAGTACTCCAACCCTTGCTGGGCAAACTCGCATTTGCCGCGGTTCGCCTTGTACTTGGCGATACGAAGCCGCTCCAAGACGTCGCGAAGGTGCTCGAGATGCTCGTCCAGCGACTGGCTATAAACCAAGATATCATCGAGGTAAATAAGTACGGTGTGGTCGAGCAAGTTGCGGAATTCCGTCGTCATTGCCACTTGGAAAGTCACCGGGGCATTGGTGAGACCGAAGGGCATGAAGATCCACTCAAAGTGTCCATATCGCGTCTTGAACGTGGTCTTGTACTTATCTATTGGCTGAATCTTGATCTGGTGATAACCGGACTTGAGGTCTAGCGTTGAGAAGTACTTGGCGCCGCTGAGTCGCTCGAGAAGGTCATCGATCCGAGGGAGAGGGCCGGCGTTCTTGATCGTTTGTGCGTTGAGTTTTCGATAATCGATGCGCAACCGAAGGTCCTTGTTCTTCTTCCGGACGAAGAGGACTGGAGCACCGTATGGCGAGCCGCTAGGGCGAATCCAGCCCTTGGCCAAGAGGTCGTCTAGTTGTGCCCGAAGCACTTGAAGCTCCTCTTCGCTCATGCGGTAAATACATCCGCGCGGAGGTACGGCGCCGTTCTCGAGAGTGATCCCGTGACGTATGGGTCGATCCGGTACGACTCCGGCGGGAGCTTGGAAGACATCCTCGTAGCTGTCCAACAACTCATTGATACGTGGGTCCGATGTGTCCGTCTTGGGCTGGCCATCGGGAGGGAGGGCGTGAAGAAAACAAATGCCCATCTCCTCGACGTCGTGTCGGATGATGGATTGGCGAATGCTCACCGCAAATACCACGTGGCAACCAATCGAAGGATGAGGAGGCGGCACCGTGCACGAGACTAGTTCGCCTTGCCGATCACGAACGTGAACGGTGTGGCGGAAGAAGTTCACCGGATGGTCTTCGCTTTGCAGCCACGATATGCCTTGGATCATATCGAACTTAGTGTCCAGTTTGTCGAATGACACAGCCTCACATGCTTGTCGGGCAAAGTACACGGGCACGAAATCAACGCAGCGGTCGATTGACTTTTGTGTGCGGCCATCGGCCAACGTGACGTGCATAGGCTGACTTTTCCTTCGAACGCGCGGGCCCAGCCCAAGGCGTGCCATGAAGTCTTGGCTGATGTAGTTGTGAGATGCTCCACAATCAATCAAGGCGCTGCAGGTCGCCTTTCCGATCTGAATGCGGATGTAGAGGAGCGGCGCGTCGATGTCGACGTACCGTTGCGCTGTGTACTCACGGTTGATTTTCGCAAGATAGTCGGGAAGGTCAACAACCGCTACTCCGCCGTCTGTCGACGGAGGTGGTACTACAGCATGCAAGTATTCGCGCAAATGTGCCATGAGGGCGTTGCAATGCGGTGTAGGCAAAGAACCGGTGGAGGGAAGAGGCAACCATTGGAAGTCCTCAACCGTCAATGGATTGAGTTCCTCAAGACTCGCCCAAGTTGGCTGATCCTCCGATAGAAGGGCTGGCGAAGCAACCGGTTCGTTGTCCGACGGCGGTAACACCACGCATGCGCTAGAAGCTTGCACGTGGAGAGGCTGGTTCAACTGCGGGACCAGGTCGATAGCATAGTTCTCGAAGTTAATCTGAGAGCTTGCGACTACCGCGTCATCCCCGGACGCGAGAGAGACTGCTAGCAAGGTAGCCAAATCCGACGGAATAGGAAGTGTTGTCACGACGCTGTCCGCGGTGCTCAGTTTCCCGAGCTAGGACGCTTGACACTCTCCTTGTCCTTTTCGAGACAAACACTGGTGATGTGTTTGGTGCAGTTGCACCATAAACAACATCCCCATTTCTGTCGTAACTTGAACATTTCTTCGGTGATGTCGGACTTCGTCCATGATGACTGTCGTGCTCCATCCGGCGACGCTGATTTTGCCTTGTGTTTTCCCCCACGGGATTTTCAGCGTTGCGGTGGTATCGCTGCCGCCACATCTCCATCACTTGATGTTGAAGCGGCTGCGAGGTCCTCACTTGATCCTTGTTGGACTGCTGCTACTTGCGGCGTCCGCTGACCTTTGCCTTTCTCCATGTTACCGGGCTGCGGGCGATTCTCGTTGGCCGCACGCCGGTTACCTTGTACGAGTTCTCTAGCCTTGGCGATCATGTCGTCGAAGGTCTCATACTGAAAGTCGCTGCCAAGGGTAGCTGTCAAGGCGTCGCAAGATCGGGCAAAAAATTCGGCCCAGATTGCGTCGAACGCTAAGTTCAACTCCGGGCTGGCGACGAGTTTTTGCCACTCCGTCAGCCACTCCCGTGAAGGTTGCTGGCCTATAATATGCGGAAGATCTTGTTCAGGGCGTGACGCTTGTCATTGCTCACCATGAACCAGGTCTTCCATTTCTTCTCGAATTCCTCCTACGTGATCTTCGTGTGGAGGGTGGCGATGGTACATTCGAGCGTGACGGCATGTGCGTCATGAATGCTTGTGCTCCGCCAATAAGCTGGAGGTAGAGCGCATCCATCCGCCGTGTAGGCGGTGTATGATGTTCATCGGCCTCCGCGTTGAATGCCATCCACCATTGCAACGGATTGGTCTTGTGGTAATCATCGAACTTCTCAATCTTGAAGTTCGACATCTTTCTTTCCTTGACTGCTGCCGTGCGTTGTTGAACGTGATCGCTGAGCGTCTGCAGCTGGTTGCTGACTGTCGACGTTCCAGCGAACTGGCTGATGTCGCCAAGAGATGCGACCACATGGTTGATTCGCTCCTCGATTTGCTTGGCTTGAGCCGCCAAAGCTGGGCTCCGGTTTGAAACTGCACCGCCTGTTGACTCGATTGCGGACAGTCGTGCCATTCCGGCTTCGATAGAGTCCTGCAGTCGGTCGTTGATGGCCTGCTGTTAGCTGTCGGCGGACTGCAGTATGCCGGTGCCGGCCTGCAGGGCGGCGATCTTCTGATCCATCACCTTGAATATGTTCTCAAGGCCGATGATGACCCGCTGCATGGCCAACAATTCACGTTGCTGCCAATTGCACGTGTAAAGCAGGTTCTCCATGAAAATTGATGTGCTTTTCCTCAGTCTCTCTTCCTCGATCGGCTCCTCTTGTTCTTCATTTGCTCGAAAATGCTGCTGTCGAAGGAGATTGCGGTATGTGGCTTCTTCATTTACAAGGTTCATTGCAGTCTGGTACCGAGCCTGAGTCTGAGTTGCGTCGAGCTGCTGCAGTTGTAGCCGTGGGGCTGCTGCAGCTTCGGCAGCGGCCTTCTGCAGTGTTGCTTGTTCCGCTTCCTGTTGGAGTCGAATGGCTTCCCGGCGGGCGGCATCTTCCTTCTCCCATTTGCGAAGTTCGGCGGCAGTGGTCTCCGCATACTGTTGGAGACGCTCGAGAAACACGAGTGCGGTTTCATCTGCCCGTTGAACTGGCACAGGAGGGGGGACCGGCCTCTTGGGGCTGCTTGGCATGTTGCTGCCAGCGGAGCCGGCTGCTGCAGCCAAGACCGTGCTCCATTTGCGCAAGATCCGAGGTGACTTGGGTCCCTGTTGGGGCTTGGTTCCCGGGGATTCGCGCTCAGCCAATCGTAGGCTGCGGCGCATCAAGTATCCGGGTACACGTAGCTGCTGACGTGGCACTCTACGGATATGGCACAATGCTGACGTGGCACAATGCTGACGTGGCACAATGCTGACGTGGCACAGTGCTGACGTGGCACAATGCTAACGTGGCACAGTGCTAACGTGGCACAGTGCTGACATGGCACAATGCTGACGTGGCCGGAGACTGAAGTCCGCAGAACCGAGAGGAGGGAAAGAAGGAGGGAGGGGTAGGGAAGAAGGGAGGGCATGCAAGCAATGCATAGACAGTCCCTTTCTGCCTTGACCTCGGCTTGACACTAATCAAGAGAAAAATCCCCCCCCCCCAAAAAAAAAATCGAATTAAATAATTAATTATTAAGTAAATTTAAATGAATTTAATCGCAAAATATACATTAAATAAATAATGTTTCTTCCGGCAAAATCAAACAGGTCATTAAAAGCATTAAAATATGCAAACATTTTGGCAAAAATTAAATACTGAATTAACAAATTTTTAAATTTGCAAAAATGAATCAAATTGAAACAAGATTAATCATTTAACGGAATTAATTAAATAATTTCGTGAGTTTGAAACGGGAGATTTAGCATCATTACAAGGTCATGAAGTAAGTAGAAACATAATGGTAATCGGAAGATTCACTAATTACTGTAAAGATTTAAGCTTTAAGTCGCAAAAACAGATGCTATTGCAAAAAGTGAAAGTTCCGTGAAGTTGCAGTTGAAACTGGTCGGGCTCAGGCCTGCTTTGCCTTGCTTGGCACAGTGCCTGGCGGCTCTAACTTCCTGCGGTCTGTTAAGTCTGATTAGGTTAGGACTAACCCTAATTAGCACTAATTAGGTTAACCGTGATTAACGATTTCCTAACTATGCGCGAAATGGAGAAAGCCGCCAACTCAAAAACGACCTAATTAACGATGCAAGAAGAAAAAGTAAAAAAATTACCACTTCTGAGTAATGATAACAGAGTACAGGTATAGATGTCAATCAATCAATCAATCAATCAATCAATCAATCATAATGAGTAAATCAAATTGTTGGTCTGCTCTGATACCGAACTGTTGCATACTCGTAATTACAGACATAATTATGGCGCAGATTCCCAGAACCGACCAGATAATACAGAGCAATTACAAACGCAGCGAAAAGGTTTGATACACATGGATAGACTCTGATCTGACTCGGACTGCAACGAAACACTCCCAACATGCATCGATGTCGTGAAAGCCCTGGCCCTGGACTAAGACGAAAAGGCCAGGGTCTGAGATCATTCACTGGCGAATGGAGGGGGGAGGAGAGACGAAGGAGGAGGAGAGGGAGATGACGTTAGCACCATGTATCCAAAAATAGTATCTCGAATGTCATACGTAACGCACATCCAGAATGTCGTGAATACAGAGTCTCACAGTGTCCCAAATAATGATCCCCGAATCTCAAGATACATCTCCAGAAATAGATGGAGTCAATTCCCAAAAGTAGTCCTCACTCGATGTCTCAATGTCACCATATCAACGATTATCTGAACTCGTCACCATCTCTCGTACTCATAGTGGTCCCGAAGTGTAGACTTAGACTTAGGAGGAGGGAGAGAGAGAGAGGGAGAGAGGGAGAGAGAGAGAGAGCGGAGGTAGAGGAGGAGAGAGAAAGGCGGGGTCTTTCCCTCTGGTACCGTGTTGGTAGCTATGGCGTTGCTACTGCTGTAGTGGCTGCGCCTGTTCCTCCTTACTGCCGCCGCTGTACCTCGCTGCTCCGGTCTCTGACTGGGCGCTGTCGCTAGTGCTGGAATGCTGCGCTAATCTTAAAGAGCTGCGCTTATGCCAGACTCACGCCTCCGCCTAACGCTAACCTTAAGACCAGCTTCTAACCTACTAGAATGAGTGTTGGCATACTGCGTAGCCACACGGGCCCTGCAGGGCCTGTCCCGGACTTTCAGCCTAAAAGCCTAGGAAATAGGGCTTACAGGCCCCGGTCGTTTCAGTTTGAAACTGAAAAACGAGGGTCTGCAGGCCCTATTCCGTTTTCAGCCTATTTTTGAGCCTTTCAAGCCCAGAGGCTTTTCAGCCTGAAACGGAGGGCCATTTTCAGGCCCTCATTGTTTCGACCAACCCTAAGACTCAGGCACAAAAACAGGGTTTTCGGAACAGGCTATCTTTAGCCTGTTCCCCACGACAACTCAAGCAGGAGCTGCAGCGGCAGCCCCTGCCTCCCTCTGGCATTGGCAAGAGCAGCCTCCTCGACTGCCTCGCCTGCAGTCAGGAGACACCCGAGAGTACATAGGAAGTTCCCATGCACTTCACGGGCAGGTAGTTGGACGTAGTCAGGAGTAGTCTTTAGGATTGCGGAGCAACACTCAGGAGGAGCGTTGCCCAGGGCAGCTTAGCGCGAGTGGTAGTCTTCAGCGCTGGGCGCCATAGCTGTAGTCTTCAGCGCTGGGCGTGATAGTAGTAGTTGTAGTAGTAGTGATATAGGAGAGAGATGACTGGCAGAGGCGAGTGGTACTTACCTGCGGCACCATCGCTCCAGCTCCATCTTCGAGGTACCTGCACCAAGGCGCCACCTTTACAGGTTAGTACTGGACTGAGAGAGAGAGAGAGTTCTTCTTCTTCCTCTTCTAAGTCCACCATCTCTTCTTCCCCTCTCGTTGCCTACTTCTCAGTATCTGTGGACTATGAGAGAGAGATATGACCTGAGACTTGACGACATTGGATTCAGACACGACATTTGGGATTTAGACATTTTGCCGAGGGACTATTTGGGCCTGTGCCGAAGACTTGGTGTTGACGACATTCCCATCTCTCCCTCCTCTTTGTCTAACCCCCCTCTTCTTCGTCTGTGTATGTGTGGGGCTGGCGCAGTCTTCCTGTGTGAAGCGCCGGACCCCTTTCACATTGAGGGATGATGATGATGATGTATGTTCAGGGCTACATTGCAACATTGATTGTTCGGATCACCGGTATCTAAGTCTTCCGCTTCGCCATCTTGTACTTTGTATTGAGAGGTCGGTTCTTGTTCTGGTCTGCACAGTTACAGTATGCAACAGTTTGGTATCAAAGCGGACCTCTTATTCAGAGGACCCGCTCAATCAAGTAGCGAGCTTGCTTGATCTATTAACCTCATTAGTAAATCAAGTAACACTTCGTCAAATCTCTGAATTTTTTCTTTCTTTCTTTCGCATATATCTGAAATTCGTGATAGTAGCATTTCGTTTTATCTGAAAATTTTTGATAATCGCATTTCGTCTAACCTCAAAATTTTTGATATTAGTATTTCGTTTTTACGTAACCAATATCTGAAAATTTCTGAAAATCGTATTTCGTTTTATCTGAAATTCTTGATAATAGCATTACGATCTACCTGAAAAATTTCGATATTTGAATTTCATTTTCATGCAACAAATATTCGAACTTTTCTCAAAGTAGCAATTCGTTTTCCGATATTTTGCATATATCAACAGAAAAATTTCCACGAGAAATGAAAGTTGAAAAAACATTCCATTTAAAAAAAAATCCTTCATATTTGTAAATTATCATTCCAATGTTTGTCCATTTCTAAAATTTCCTGTTTTATTTGATAAGTTCCCATCTAAATATGAGCTTTCCCTTCCAACTACATCTATTTGTTCAAGATGGAATGAAAGTCAAGATGAGTTTATGAAATGTCTTAACTAAACTTTCATTCTACTATGACAAATACCTTCTAATTTAGATTGGATTAACCCATTTATGACTGAAAATCCTTACATAGAATGACAATCCAATTAAAATATTTCATGAACTTATCCAGACTTTCATTCCATATCTAGCATGCAGTTCAAATAAGAAGGAAGACCCCATTCTTGGAATAAAAGTTTTCAAGTAAGACAGAAAATTTTAAAATTGGAATGACATTTTTTAAGATGGAATGAAAATTTAGAATTTTTAATGTAATTTTAATATAGAATGATTATTTAATTTTTGGAAATTTTTCTATTGATAGCCGAAATTTCTGATATGAGCATTTCGTTTTCTGGGCCTATTAGGATAATGATAGAAGTGGTCATATTCTCGGAAACCGGATTTATTCTGTTCTGAAAATCGAATTTTCATTCTATCTCTCAATTTTTTTTTTGAAAACTGAAATCTTGCAGAGCCTATCGGCATGGCATTTTAGGCATAGTAGGAGATTGTCATATTCGTAGGAACAGGATTTAGTCCTTTTCTGAAAATCACATCTCTGCTCTATTTTGCAATTTTTTTTTTCAACATTGCATTTGGTAAAAGACGAAACTTTGCGGAACCTAGCCTAGATCTCGCTCATAGTACTTTTCTGACATACCTCACCCATAACAGATCGATAGATATAAAAAAAAAAAAAAAAAAAAAAAAAAGATGTAGTCCTCTTTTATTTTTTTATTTTTTATCTGTTGATTAGGGCCGGGAGGAAAGTATTGTTGGGTTGGTTACCTACCTGCGTTTTTCCTCCCACCCACCCCTTTGCATGCATTCTGGTTCGGTACAGTGCCACGTCAGCAGTGCTACGTCACAGTGCCACGTCAGTCACAGTGCCACGTCAGCAGTGCCACGTCAGCAACAGTGCCACGTCAGCAGTGCCTCGTAAGCAGTGTCACGCAAGCAGTGCCACATCAGTCACAGTGCCACCTAGTAAGCAGTGCCACGTCAGCAGTGCCACGTAAGCAGTGCCACATCAGTCACAGTGCCACCTAGTACGCAGTGCCACGTCAGCAGTGCCCCGCCACCATGACGGGAGCAGCTCTGGGCATGCCAGGCCAACTGGCCAACGAGTCCCTTGCTGACTACAAAAAGCAGTTCCAGGCTCAGATCGCACTGATTGAGGCTGAGGAACAACGCCAGCTGGCAGCCGAGGCTGCCCGCCTACACGCTGAAGCAACGGCAACAGCTGAGAAGCAGCGGCTACAGGCCGAAGCAGGCGCAGATACCCAGGCACGCCGCAACGAGGCCAAGGATCTGCTGCAGCGGCATGAAGCTGCTAGCATCGAAAGACTCAAGTTCTGGCACTTTGAACCGTCCAACGACGACGATGCGACACCAGAGGAGCTGCACAAGGAATTCCTCTCCAAACTCGTGACRCGGTTGCTATATGCTTGCAACTATCAACAGTCCGAGCTAGAGAGACAGAACCAGGAACTGCAGCAACAGTACCACGATCTGAAGAAACAGCACCAGGAGTTGGCAAACCTCCGCCGGACAGTGAAGAGCCGCGAGGATGCTACACGGGCACTCAATTCCCGTGTACTGGACCTGGAGCAAGCTGTACCAGGACCAAACGCTGGGGTATCCAGCAGTGCACCCCCTAACCGCCAACTGGAGGAACGCGTCGACCACGTCGTCGCAATGCTCGGCGACATCAGTACCTTCGTTGCGCCAACCACCATCAGCAGTCAGCTAGAGACCTTGAAGACCGAGGTCCAGCAACTGCAGTTGCCTAATACATATGGCAACAGCTCAAATCAATACAAGATGCCAACTTTTCAACTCGAGAAGTTCGACGACTACACGCATCAGGACCCAGTGCTCTGGTGGGAAGCTTTCACAACGCAACTTCGGATTCTGCCTGTCGCCAAGCACGTGTACATCGGCTCCCTGTTCATGAACTCAAAGGGTGGATGCCCGATCTGGTTAACTTACCTGGCAGCCACCCACGGCGTCGACGTCGTAAATCTGAGAGACAAGATCACATGGGAAGAGTTAACACGGCTGTGGAAGAAGCGATTCATCGTCGACGACGCACCAACACTCGCCATCAACCGTCTCTTCACCATGACTCAAGGCAACGCAGCAACACGTGACTGGCTCACGAAATGGCAGGAGATCGCGGCAACGCCCGATCTTGACTTACCATTTTCGTATCTGCGTTGTAAGTTCTATAACAGGTCATGCGCTGCATTGAGCCAGACACTCGGTGATCGCGAGCAGTACTCAACTTTCACCGAGATTATTGACAAGGCGAGAGAGATCATCAAGACCAACAGGTCCGCTGCACACGAGAGATCAGCATGGTAGCCAACCTATGTGGAGAAGGTAAAGACTGGTCCGCGGACGCAGCATGTCGCTGCAGTCCATTCAGACAGTGGAGAAGACCCAGCAGCCGCCCAAGCATCACGTGAGGGAGATCAGGTGGCTGTTGTCCAGCCGCAAAGCAACAGCAAGTCCCGAGGTAACGGGAGGGCGAAATCAGCATCGCCGGCCGGAAATGGACAGCCTGCACCACCATGGGTTAAGTTCGGCTTGACCGAGGCCGAGTACAAGTACCGCGGCCGTTACGGCTGCTGTTATTGGTGCAACAACACCAAGCATAAAACCTCCCTTTGCGAGGATCAGGCCAAGGAGGATGTGCGGCCTCGTCTCAACTCGGGAAACTGAGTTTCGCGGGAGGTGAGGCGACTCCACCTCCCACTCCGCCAGATTCGGCCGCCTTGCTAGCAGCCTCCTACACATCTGGGGAGGATGCGAATGTCGTGAGTTCTCAGTACACTTACGAGGACTATGCTGTCCACTTGGTCCCAGCATTGGACCAACCACTCCACGTGCAACAATCCATCGCATGCACGGTTTCATCAGCATCGGCAACCGATTCGGCAGCTTCGCCGCCATCTATCGCCGGGGATTCAACGTCATGGTCAAGACTTGAGGAGCTCGACCCGTTGACATTCACGGACTTCCAATAGATGTCCGTTCCCCCGACCGGACGATTGCCGAAACCGCATTGCAATGTGCTCATGGCACAACTATGGGATTGCTTGCACACTGCAGTACCAGCTCCGTTGATGGACGCCGAAGTAGAGGTTGTCGACCTTCACGCTTACATCGCGAAGATCGACCGCGAGTTCAAGACGCAACGGTACGACGGCATCGACGCACCATTGCTATATGTATGCATTCAGATCGGAGAGGCAACCTGCAACGCCTTGATCGATTGCGAAGCATCTCGCAATTACATCAGCCAGGACTTCATGGTGCGCGCCGGCTTTGGCCCACGCGTCCGAAGGAAGCCTCAGCCTACGCAAGCCACGTTGGCGGACGGTCACACGCACAAATCAATCGACCGGTGCATTGATGACGTCCCAGTGTACTTTGCCCGTCACGCAAGTGAGGCGGTGTCCTTTGACATTCTGGACACCAAATTCGACATGATCTTGGGCATGTCATGGCTGCGAAGCGAGGACCACCCGCTGAGCTTCTATCACCGCACCGTTCACATTCGTGATCGGAATGGAATACTAGTCCCATGCACGGTGCCTCTTCCTCATCCTTCGATCAGCTGCCACGTGGTATCCGCCGCAAGCATGCGAGCTTCCATCATCAGAGACGACATCGAGGAGATGGGGGTGTGTTTTCTCCACGCCCTCCCGCCCCATGATGCTTCATCGACGGACTCATCTTCGGATCCACACATCATCGAGTTTCTCGACGCCTATAGCGACGTGTTCGAAGGCCCGCACGGAGTAGTACCGGATCGGCCCATCTGCCACGAGATCATCCTCGAGGACGGGGTTGTACCTCCATGCGGTTGCATCACCGAATGAGCGAGGAAGAGTTAAGTGTGCTCCGGGCACAACTCGACGACCTTCTGGAGAAAAGCTCGATTCGGCCTAGCTCATCGCCATACGGTGCTCCTGTTCTCTTCGTCCGGAAGAAGAACACGGATTTGCGGTTGTGCATCGATTATCGCAAGCTCAACGCTCAGACGATCAGAAACGCCGGCCCTCTCCCACACATCGACGACCTTCTCGAACGACTGGGCGACGCCAAGTTTTCTCCAAGCTCGATCTCAAGTCGGGATATCACCAACTCGAGATTCGCAAGGAGGACCACTACAAGACCACGTTTAAGACGCGATATGGGCATTTCGAATGGCTGGTTATGCCATTTGGCCTTACGAATGCCCCGGCCACTTTCCAAGTGGCTATGACAATTGAGTTTCGACACATGCTAGATCGATACGTACTTACATACCTCGACGAAATCCTGGTGTACAGCGGGAGTTTGGACGAGCATGTGGAACACCTGCGCACCGTTTTGGAGTGGCTACGACAAGCCAAGTACAAAGCCAACCGCGACAAGTGCGAATTCGCGCGGCAGGAGATAGAGTACTTGGGACATTATGTGACGCCGCAAGGCATCCGTCCGCTTGCGGACAAGATCGAGGCCCTGCGAGCATGGCCCGAGCCCACCAACACCACAGACGTTTGTTCAATCACGGGATTGGCGGGCTACTATCAGCGATTCATCACCGGATACTCGAGGATTGCTGCACCTATAACGAGATTACAATCGCCAAAGGTGCCATTCGTATTCGATGACGACGCACGCCGGTCATTCCTAGCACTTAAGATGGCTATGCTCATGGCACCCGTCCTTAGCATTTATGACCCGTCCTTAGCATTTATGACCCCACCCTGCCGACGAGAATGACTACGGTCGCTTCCGGCTATGGCATTGGGGCAGTCTTGGAACAGCACGACGGCGACGACCGACACCCTGTAGAGTATTTCAGCCACAAAGTGCCTCCCATCAACTCGCTTGATGATGCAAGGAAGAAGGAGCTGATCGCGTTGGTGATGGCTCTCAAGCGCTGGCGGCACTTCCTCCTTGGGCGTCGTAGGTTCACATGGGTCACAAACAACAATCCATGGACCTACTACAAGACGCAGGATACAATGAGCAGCACGATCGGACGATGGATGTACTTCATCGACCAATTTGACTTCACACCGAAACATTTTCCCGGCCTCTCCAATCGCGCAGCAGATGCACTCTCGCGAAGACCTGATCTTTGCGCTCTTCTATGGATGGTCATCAGGAAGTTGACCGCGTCATCACCGATCGCAAGTACGGCAGCAAGCCGCGACAGTACAAAGTTACATTCAAAGCATGCGATCTCGACGACACTCGGTGGTTTTCAGCAGCAGATTTGAGAGCATCCGCACCGCTGATCTACGCGCATTATGAGAAGCAAAGGTTAGCTCAGGAAGCTTCACGACCAGCCCCTCCCACCCGGACTGTGGTCCCTCCCTCAGACAGACAGCTTCACCCTCGTAGGTAAGCTCGGTCTTTCAAGGAGGGGGGGCGTGTGGCATACTGCGTTGCCACACGGGCCCTGCGGGGCCCGTCCTGGACTTTCAGCCTAAAAGCCTAAGAAATAAGGCTTACAAGCCCCGGTCGTTTCAGTATGAAACTGAAAAACGAGGGTCTGCAGGCCCTATTCCGTTTTCAGCCTATTTTTGGGCCTTTCAGGCCCAGAGGCTTTTCAGCCTGAAACGGAGGGCCATTTTCAGGCCCTCATTGTTTCGACCGACCCTAAGACTCAGACACAAAAACAGGGTTTTCGGAACAGGTTATCTTTAGCCTGTTCTCCACGACAGCTCAAGCAGGAGCTGCAGCGGCAGCCCCTGCCTCCCTCTGGCATTGGCAAGAGCAGCCTCCTGGACTGCCTCGCCTGCAGTCAGGAGGCACCCAAGAGTGCATAGGAAGTTCCCATGCACTTCACGGGCAGGTAGTTGGACGTAGTCAGGAGTAGTCTTCAGGATTGCGGAGCAGCACTAAGGAGGAGCGCTGCCCAGGGCAGCTTAGAGCTAGTGGTAGTCTTCAGCGCTGGGCGCGATAGTAGTAGTAGTAGTAGTGATATAGGAGAGGGCTGACTGGCGGAGGCCAGTGGTACTTACCTGTGGCACCATCGCTCCAGCTCCATCTTCGAGGTACCTGCACCAAGGCGCCACCTTCACAGGTAAGTACTGGACTGGGGGAGAGAGAGAGTTCTTCTTCTTCCTCTTCTAAGTCCACCATCTCTTCTTCCCCTCTCGCTGCCTACTTCTCAGTATCTGTGAACGACGAGAGAGAGATATGACCTGAGACTTGACGATATTGGATTCAGACATTTTGCCGAGGGACTATTTGGGCCTGTGCCAAAGACTTGGTGTTGATGACATTCCCATCTTTCCCTCCTCTTTGTCTAACCCCCCTCTTCTTCGTCTGTGTATGTGTGGGGCTGGCGCAGTCTTCCTGTGTGAAGCGCCAGTCCCCTTTCACACTGAGGGATGATGATGATGATGTATGTTCAGGGCTGCATTGCAACATTGATTGTTCGGATCACCGGTATCTAAGTCTTCTGCTTCGCCATCTTGTACTTTGTATTGAGAAGTCGGTTCTTGTTCTGGTCTGCACAGTTACAGTATGCAACACTGAGGCTGGTACCCAGCCTTTGTAGTGCTGGGCCGGCCTCCTACCTACTGGTACCTACCGGCTTGAACCGTTGATCTGATCAGCGGTCCAGATTTGAACTGGACTTTGGCGCCTAAAAGTTGGCAGCCTCTGAAGCGCCACCGGTAGGTCCTGGTCCGAACCAGTACCGGCCTCTGGCCGTTTGGGCCTGAAACGTCGTGCCCCTGGTCTACTTGGGCCTGGTCTGAACCGTTGTCCCCTAGGCCTACCCTGCCTACTGGGAACCGGGCCCTATTTGAGGCCCATGTGGCTCAGAATGCCACACACAGAGAGAGAGAGAGAGAGAGAGAGAGAGAGAGAGAGAGAGAGAGAGAGAAAGAGAGAGAGAGAGAGAGAGAGAGAGAGAGTCTACCGTACCTGCATCGAGGCGCAACCTTTGCGCAC